AGCCATGCCTGGGGCACTGGAGGGAGGTGCTGCTGGCCGGAGCGCGGGTCACATCATGCCTTCCCTCTGGGCGCCCATCCCGGCCCCACGCCCTTCCTGTCTCCAGCTCAAGGCTCTAGGTCTGGGACTGGCCTCAAGGTGTTCCAAAAGACAAGGAGGGAGGAGTCTCTAAGACCCAGTGGTCAAGGGGTGTCAGAGCACTGCGGCTGAGAGGCCAGCAGGCGCTGGAAGAGGCTGGGGGGGGGTGGAGAGGGACACCCCGCGTACCACCCCCATTGGCGCAGTCTCAGAGACATGATGGTGGACCCCACAGCCGTGTCTCAGCCACTGCACCCTTGTAACAGACTTGCGGACCCTTGCAAGGTGCCCATACCTTCATGGATGCCGCCCACCCAGCACTCCCTTCCCCAGAGGGGAAGTCCTGCCTGAGGCCGCCAGCTGGGGCTCCTGATGCCAAATCGACCCAGATCTCCCTCTGCAGCCCCCAGCCCCCACCCTGGGGGCTGCACCTGGGGGCTTCTGTGGGGAAGGAGGATCCCTGAACCACCACTGGCCAGGCTCACCGCACTCAGCCCCACACGGGCCCCCAGCGCTCACTGCCGTCTCTCCCCACGAACTGCTGTCCAGCTCCCAGCAGGGAGGTTCCCACTCAGTGCGGTCGCGACCGCCCCAAGCTCACCCCCAGCAGCGCCGGCCTGGTTTGCGTTTCAAACCTCAGCAATAAAACAGGCTCTCAACCACGTTCAGAGCCTTGCGACTCGGCACAGACAGCTGCTGGGACACGAGAAGGAAGCAAGGCGCTGGAGCTTCCAGAAGGGCGGCCCCCACGGGCAGCAGGACCGGGGCCTTGCTAGGGCCGCAGTCTGTGGCTGTTTCTGATGAAGACTCAGAAGGCATGACCTCCATGCATGGTCACTGGCGTGTGGGCAGGGCCCCAGAGCTGAGGTCCTCACACCCACCATGCAGCCATTCCCTCAACAATCCTGCTCTTTGCCAAGCACTGGGCTGGGGGCTGAGGGGGTGTCCAGCCTGGAGGGTCCTCACTTGGCCGGATGCAGGCACCTGGGCTCAGGGCTGGCTGCCAGGGTTGGAGCCAGGGGTGTGCAGGGAAGTGTCCTCTCCGCTGGGTAGGCTGGGAGGCACCTGGTCTGACCCACTTACTTTGGAATAAATGCCTTCTCTTCTGTGTTTGGCTTCAATTCTAACCCTCCTGCCTGCTCCCTCCTTGACCACAGAACTCTCAGAGTAGTCCTGGGCATCCTCCACCTCAAGACTTCCGTTGTCTTCCCTACGGAGTAAAGAGAAGGTGAAGTGGGCTGACTGTGTCCCTGTGGGCGAGTGTTTGCCAGATAACATCTCTGTTTCAAGGAAAAGGTCTTGTGAACGTGTTGCCAGCATCCGCAGTGCCCGTTCGCTTTGTGGGTCTTTCCCCTGCAGGGCCACGTCTCCTAGGTGTTTGGCAAGGGCAGGTGTTTGTGGCGAGGCTGCTAAGAGGGCCAACTGTTTTCTAGTATTTTCACCTGTGACTTTGGTGAGACAGCTGAGCACGGCCCAGATGCCTAAGGAACATTTTGACAGAGTCACTCTGTTAAGGTGGTGCCAACGTGCGTTTCCCCCTTCTAAGATGTAGGCTGCCTCTGGCTCCCGCAGGCCCTGAGCACAGCTGAGCTCTGCCCCACCCACCCCATATTGTCTGCCGGTCCTGGCCCAGAGGGTGGGGCACCTACAGAGAGAATGGCTGCCCCCGGTCACAGTGGTAGAGGGAGCAAAGATGTTGGCTGTGGTGGGTGGAAGGCAGCGGTGCTGGCGGAGCAGGTGGCACGGCAGGTGGGGGAGCTGGTGGTGTGGCGGTGGTGCTGACGGGTTGATGGCAGGGCAGATGGTGGAGGCGGTGGTGCTAATGGTGAGACTGATGGTGGGGGTGATGGCAGAGATGGTGAAGCAGAAGGTAGAGGTGGTAGCGGTGGCACTGTAAGGGGCTGAGGCGGGGGCGACGGTATGGAGGGAGCCACACATCAGCCTGGCCCAGCACTGTTCCAGCAGAGATTTAGGGGACAGCAGGTGCCGGCGCACAGCAGCCCACCCACAGTAAATGCCCAATGCACTGACGAGGCGCAACATTTCACCCCCTCAGCGGCCCAGGGCCCCACCCCAGGACGGGGGAGACAGAACTGGCACTGAGATGTCACCCTGCAGCCTGAGCTGTTCCTGCCCTCCTGAGTTCCTGGCCCCAGAGCTCCCACTGGGAGTCCTGCTTGAAAGGTCTGGGCCTGAGTGGCAGCCCCAGACTCCAGAGGAGAGGGAGAGGGAAAGGGGGCTCAGAGATGACAGGCCTGCAGAGTCCCCCACACCACCCCCAGTTGCCACCTAGGGGGTCTACAAAGAAGCAGGCCCCTCCCTGAATGTCTGGGCAGGTCCCCAGCCTCTTGGCAGGGGGCCTCAGGTGTCAGCTGGGGGCAGGGACCACGTGGCCCTGGGAGGGGCTGAGACCTTGGCAGGCCGAGTGAGGGCCTGAAAGGACCAGGTGTCTCACTGGGAAACTGAGGACTCAGGCAGCACTTGCCGGGTGTCACACTGCTGTTGGTGAGGGAACCAGGAGAGTCTTCCTTCACTGAGCAGGGGACCAGTTGGGAGGGAGGGGGGCTGAACACGATCACTGCGCGC